CAGTTTCTGCGCATGCGTTTACATTGAAGAATATAAAATCCCTTCAGTTTTCGAGTTTAACGCTTTAACCTCTCCTGTTCTTCGGGTTCATTAACACATGACAAATATGTCGTGATATTAGTATTGATGAAAATAAAACCTTCGCCGTGAACAGGATTCGAACCTGTGAAGGAATATCTCATTAATTTTTAAATCTAGTGCATTAAACTCCCGGCCTTTATAGATGAGATTCATCTCGACTATTTTTCCTTGGCGAAGTTGACAAGACATTATACAGCGTAACCCGGATGTAAGAGAGTTGTCGGGACCGGAGAAGAAATCTCTTATATCCGGGTTTCTCTTATATCCGGGTTTGGTCTATTTTGTTTAGGTAAGTATGGGAACTAATTTGGGACCAGAGAAAATCTCTTATATCCGCGTTTCTCTTATATCCGGGTTACACTGTATAAATAAGCGCCATTGATATGAGCTGAAACTGTGAGGCAATATCCCCATTCGATCTGGAATCTAACACGTACACCTAACACCTAATCTCCCGTACATCACAACTCAGTTACTTCGTCTGCATTATCTCATGAAAAGTGTCAAGATATTAGTATTGAAGAATATAAATCCATCGCTGTGAACAGGATTCGAACCTATGATGGAATTTCTCACTAGATTTCGAGTCTAACGCCTTTAGTACTCATCCATCACAGCCCGGATACAGCGGCTTCATTTTCTCATGACAACGGTTACGTGACAATAGTATTGAAGAATGTAAAAGGAAAAGGCTCCGTGATCAGGATTTGAACTTTTTAAGGATTATCTCATTAAGTTTCGAATATAGCGCCTTAATCTTCCAACCATCTCAGATCAGTTGTTTGATACTAATTTCCAATGACATAGTTGACGAGAAATTACTCTTGAAGAATGTTAAATAAGTTCCATGAATGGGATTTAAACCTTGCATGGAATCTCCCATTACATTCCGAATTCAACGCTTTAACATCTTGACCCACACTACACAGCTTGTATGACTCTATTTTCTCATCACAAAGGTTACGATATATTCATATTGAAGAATGTTAAATAATTTCCATGAACGGGATTCAAACATAGGAGGAAATTTTCCCTTTTTATTTCATGTCCAACGCCTTAACATCTCAGCCATAACTACTCAGCTTATACGACAATATTTTCTCATCACAAAGGTTACGATATATTAGTAAAAAATGTAAGTCAAGAGCTGTGAATGGGATTCAAAGTTATGCAGGAATATCCCATTAGATTTCGAGTCTGACGAATCATACCCTCGACCATCACACCTCAGACGCAAAGACAACATTTTCTCATCGCTACGAGTTATTAATATTAAAGAATGTAAAACAATCACAGTGAGCAGGATTTGAACCCGCGGTGGAATATTTCATTACATTCCCTGTTTAACGCCTTCTCCCCTCGGCCATCACAACTCGGATTCTACGACTACGATGAAAAAGATGACAAGATAGTAACATTGAAAAATGTAAGACAAGAGCTGAAATCAAGATTCGAACCTGTGTCGGAATATAAAAAAAAAAAAGCTGTCGTGTAATAAGCCTTAACCTCTCAGCCATCCCAACTCGAATCATATTTCTTGTTTTTCTCATGACAAAGTGGACGAGATATTAGTAATGAAGAATGTAAAACAATTGATTAAACAGGATTCACACCTGTGAGTAAAATTCCCATTAAATTAAGAATTTAACGCATTAACCTCTCGACAATTACAACTCAGATTCTTTAACTGTGTATTTTTTTTGCGCGTAGATAATAAATAAATTCTAATCATTTTCTATAAGTAAATAATCCACACAATTTTCACTGATACTACAGGGTGGTCCGAAAGTCTCGTCACCCCCTACCAAAAGGTAATGAGAACAATAGAAGAACAAGTCATATAGTAATACAAAGCACATGTACTGGATTCAGCTTACTCACTTTCATTGACGCCATCATTTTCGTGTTAGCCAACTGAAATAGAACATTATATTATGTAGGGGGTGACAAGATTTTCGGACCACCTTGAAGTTTCATTTATTGTGTTTCTTTCTTTGTTTCAAGGAATAAAGTTTGACTTTGAAATAATAAAAATGCCAGTTAAAAAATAAATCATTAATTCTTTAGAAGCACAGAATACAAAGAATGCGTCAAAGATGCCAGCACAGCGAAATGTTCAATGTAAAAAGTACAGGGTGTTCCGAAAGTCTTGTCACCCTCTACGGAAAAGTAATGAGAGCCACAATAATACAAAGCTCATGTACTGGATTCACTTTATTCAATTTCAATGACGCTGTCGCACATCGAGAAGGTCTGTATAAACACCATCATTTCCGTGTCAGCCATCTGAAATAGAACCTTGTATTATGTAGGTGTGAAAAAACTTTCGGACCACTCTGTAGTTTCATTTATTGTATTTCTTCTTTGTTTCGAATAATAAAGTTTGACTTTGAAATAATAAAAATGCCAGTTAAAAAAATAAATCATTAATTCTTTAGAAATACAAGTGTGTGTCAAAGATGCCAACACAATGAAATGTTCAATGTAAAAAAAAATCCAGGGTGGTCCGAATGTAATGGGAACAATAGAACAACAAGTAATACAGTAATACAAAGTACATGTACTGAATTCAGTTTATTCATTTTCATTGATGCTGTCACACATTGATACAGTATATATAAACACCACCATTTTTGTGGCCCAAAATGATACGGCGCCATGTCCTGTGTGATGTTTTACGAAGCTGTGCTTTGTTGATTGTTGCAAAGGCTCTCTCCGACCGACGTCCTTCAACTGATGGGTATTCTGGTATCGTTCATGTGAAACTCTCTCTTTGATAACACTCCACAGAGCGTTGAAATAGAAAATTATATTATCTAGGGGGAGACAACCCTCTACAGTATTCTTCTATGTTCTCTTTAGAAGGGTAGCCATTTTGAAATCTCTTTAGAGGGGTAGCCATTTTGAAATCTCTTTAGAAGGGTAGCCATTTTGAAATCTCTTTAGAGGGGTAGCCATTTTGAAATCTCTTTAGAAGGGTAGCCATTTTTGAGAAAATGGAACCATGATGCAAAAGATTTTAAAAGTGAAATTTTTATCCTTTATCAACAAGAGAAGATAAAGAACACAAACGTCTCTGATAAATTCTGATTTAAAATTTTTTGTCGTACTTCCATTTGGGCAAAAGACGTACTAATATACAGGGTGGTACGAAAGTCTTGTCACCACCATAAAGAAGTAATGAGCATAATAGAACAAGCAAAACAAATCACGTGTATCGGATTCAGTTTATTCACTTTCATTGACGTTGTCACACATCGAGAAGGTCTGGATGAACACCATCATTTTTGTGGCACAAAATGATGGGACGCCATGTCCTACGTGATATTTTACGAAGCTGTGCTTTGTTGACTGTTGCAAAGGCTCTCTCCGACCGACGTCCTTCAACTAATGGGTATTCTGATATCATTCATGTGAAACTCTCTCCTTGCTCTTGTCAGAATGCACACGTTCATATGTCCATAAACTTCCGAGCAGCCTCTCTTACAAACTGTAAGAGCCCGTGTCAGCCATCTGAAATAGAAATTTATATTATCTAGGGTTGACGTGACTTTCGGACCACATTGCAGTTATTGATAATCCCCATTCATTATATCTATCTTAAAACTATTAGGCAAATAACGGCCCTAAGGACAGAGAAAAGTAAGTTTTTATACATGTTTTATTCTTATTTCTAAACTTAAAAAATAATCTATTCAATTTAATTAAACAGAAGCCAAGTAGCGTCTATATGTCTATTGTCTTTCCACGCGATCAAAACGAAATAGTTCATTATTTATGAGGTATCGGCAGGACGTAACGGTCGTGATAACTAAGAATCTAACGAAGTGATTGATAAGTACAATTATTATCTGCTTACATTTTTTACAAAGACTTATATAGAGTCGACAATTTAACTATCGCATCCCGTATACGTTGATTCGATAATAGGACCTCTGATTTATATATATCTACAGTTATCCACATATTTTGCTTATGCAAATAAAAAGAAACTATAGTTTCAATTTCCAAAATCCTATCTATTATTTGTTCCGCTTTCCACCATTTTCCCAAGCAACTTCATAATACTGTCATCTCATAAATTTATGTCTTTATCACCAAAGAAGGAATTAACTTCATGCTGGCGTTTGTCGACTACTAATCAAAAAGAATTGATACTTCACAAAGACATATGTATGGCACGGCGAAAATGAATAGAGAGATTATAGACTTGATAAAGCAGACAGCCGTTGAAATAAAATCAGAAAGAGAAACAAAAATATCACCGAATGCAGAATAAACATATCAGATTTTGTGTCGTGCATTGGCCGGTCGGGTTTTATATGTGTTTCTGGCTGGCAATCTATCTTTTTTTTAGGTCGGTTCATTTCTATATATCTCTCTTTTTTTTAGTGTGTTTTTATCTATCTATCTATCTATCTATCTATCTATCTATCTATCTATCTTCTTCATATTGTTCATATCTATCTATCTATCTATAATTTTTTGGAGTTTGTTCATATCCATCTATCTATCTATCTATCTATCTATCTATCTATCTATCTATCTATCTATCTATCTTCTTCATATTGTTCATATCTATCTATCTATCTATAATTTTTTGGAGTTTGTTCATATCTATCTATCTATCTATCTATCTATCTATCTATCTATCTATCTATAATTTTTAGATTTTGTTCATATCTATCTATACATCTAGCTAACTATATATAACTTTCCAGTTTGTTCTCATCTATCTTTTTCAGTTTTTTTCATATGTATCTTTTTCATTTTGTTTATATCTATCTATCTATCTATCTATCTATCTATCTATCTATCTATCTATAATTTTTAGATTTTGTTCATATCTATCTATATATCTAGCTAACTATATATAACTTTCCAGTTTGTTCTCATCTATCTTTTTCAGTTTTTTTCATATGTATCTTTTTCATTTTGTTTATATCTATCTATCTATCTATCTATCTATCTATCTATCTATCTATCTATCTATAATTTTTAGATTTTGTTCATATCTATCTATATATCTAGCTAACTATATATAACTTTCCAGTTTGTTCTCATCTATCTTTTTCAGTTTTTTTTCATATGTATCTTTTTGTATCTTTCCAGTTTGTTATCATCTATCTTTTGATCTTTTTCAGTTTTTTCATATGTATGTTTTTTATTTTGTTTATGTCTGTCTATCTATCTATCTATCTATCTATCTATCTATCTATCTATCTCTACCCGTTTATATCCATCTTTTTTTAATTTGTTTATATCTATCTATCTATCTTTTCTGTCTCTTCATGCCCCTCTATCTCATTTTTTCGTATCTTTCTAGCTACCAAATTCAATCTGTTAATTTTTAACTCAGTCCCTTCCTCGCCATCCCTCTTTTTTTTTCTCTCTATACTCTCTCTCTCTCTCTCTCTCTCTCTCTCTGTCTATATATATATATATATATATATATATATATATATATATATATATATGTATATATTTCCGGCTGTCTGACTCTCTCTCCCCCGCTTTTCAGTCAGTTCAGAAATATCTAACCTTTCAGTCTGTTCATGTCTATCTATCTATCTATCTATCTATCTATCTATCTATCTATCTATTTATTTATTTTTTCCGTCTGTTCACATCTTTATCTTTTTTTAGTCTGTTCACATCTTTATCTTTTCAGTCTGTTCATATCGATCTATCTTCTTTTATATTGTATCTATCTATCTATCTATCTATCTATAATTTTTTTAGTCAGTTCATATCTATATATATATATATATATATATATATATATATATATATATTTATATATCTGTCTCTCTCTCTCTTTTTCCCTTTTCAGTCAGTTCAGAAATGTCTAACCTTTTCAGCCTGCTCATATCTATCTATCTATCTATCTATCTATCTATCTATCTATCTATCTATCTATCTATCTATCTATCTATATTTTTTTGAGTCTGTTCATATCTATCTATATATCTAGCTAGCTACCAGCTAACTTTTCCAGTTTGTTCTTATCTACCTTTTTCAGTTTTTTTCTTATGTATCTTTTTCATTTTGTTTATGTCTATGTATCAAGCTTTTTCAATTTGTTCATATCTATCTATCTATCTATCTATCTATCTATCTATCTATCTATCTATCTATCTATCTATCTATCTAATTCTGTTTAGATCTATCTATGTATTTCTGTCCGTTTTTAACTATCTTTGTTTTAATTTGTTTATATCTATCTATCTTTTCAGTCTCTTCATGCCCCTCTATCTCATTTTTTCGTATCTTTCTAGCTACCAATATCAGTCTGTCCATTTTTAACTCAGTCCCTTCATCGCTATCTCTCTTTTTTCTCTCTCTTTTCTCTCTCTTTTCACTTTTCTCTTCTCTCTCTCTCTCTCTCTCTCTATATATATATATATATATATATATATATATATATATATATATATATATATATGTGTATGTATAGTTTTGTCATTTTATATACATCACTTTATCTCAGGCTATTCTTATTTATTTACCTGAATCTATTTATATTTACCGACACTCATAATTTTATATTTAGTGAATCAATTTTTGCTCAGTTCGGTAGGTTAATTCCCCGAAGATGTCTTCTTCGCATGGTTTCATTCCACCTCGATTGGTGCTATATAATCTTATTTATTTTTAATGCTACAAGATATATGATATTTCTGTACAATATACGATTACCAAGACTGTATTTTGTTATTTTATTTGTTTTTTTTTTCTTTTGTTGCTTTTTTATTGTATTTTTCTTCATGTTGTTTTCTTGTTGTTTTTTGTAAGACGCGTCTTAATACATTTCAGTTCTTGTAAAACCTACGATATCTACATAAAATTTTTCTCTCTTTCTTTCATTCTTACTTTTAAAATATTTTTTTGAGGCTCGAACCCGAATAGACTGGTTAATGAAGCAGTGTCATTTAAGTTAGGTTGCTGCATCTAAGGTTGAATGTATGGGCGTATACTTTTCCTTTTCGCGCCAATATTAAAACGGCGGTGATGGCTGCCACTAGAATTATAATAATGGCTTCGTTCACACGGACAATGTGTGTTAAATACCATTTCTTCAGAACACAATAGACAGAATAAAGAACAACGCATTTCTTGAGGAATTTCATTTTTTTTTCTGTGTGTAATTATGTTTATTTTTTTCACGTTTTTCTTGTGAGACATTGGCATCCATTTTCGAAGATCGCTATTACAACCTTCTGATAAGCACGTTTGGTAGTTTTCTGTGATTGGATCACTTGATAGTTTTATTTGAGAATACACGCACGTTCACGTGTGATCGTCTATCCCAGTGTGTATGGCTACCTCGTTGCACATGTATGTGTTTTCTTATGAATATTTGAAAGTGCACGACTTGTGAACGTATATATCAGCATGTATGGGTGACTATTCGTAAATGGTGTCTGCGTATACGTGACTATTCGTTGGTAGGTAACTATTTAAGAATAGCTGAGTATGCGTTCTTGTTTGTGGGTGGCTGCATATTTATCAACATGTATGTGTCTGTACATGTGTTAGCGCCTAAGTTTGTATATCTGGGTATTTGTGGGTATTTTTTTAAGCATTACGCCCCGAGCAAGGCGTGAAGCCACTAGGATGCAGGGGGTTGCAGCAGATTTGGAGCAAGAGCAGATAGGAGTGATAGAAGAAAGGATGAGGAGAGGGATAGTGGATAGATCAAGGTAACTGGAGATGTCGATTGACAGTACATTTGAATAGTTGGAGATTATAGCTCTCAGGGAAACAGTAATTGGGAAGGGTGTTCCACGGGCTAGAGGTGCGAGGTATGAAGCTACTGGAGTAGAAGAGGCGGCTACATTTAAAAGTTTCTACAGTGTAAGGGTGAGAGCGGGATGCCAGCTTCGTAGGGCGCTTGAATTCATGGAGTCTGAGAACCAGTGAAAGCAGCTCATCGGAGCAATTACCATGAAAGTATTTGTAGAAAAGACAGAGAGAGGCGACGGCGCGACTGTGAGAGAGTGACTGCAGACGAGACGCCAGATCAGGGCCAATTATATTATATATCCGTCTCTGGATCTTGTCAAGAACTCCGAGGTAAAACAGAAGGTGCCCCAGACCATATATGGCAGCTATACTCCATGCAAGGGCGAATGGTTGATTTGTATATTTGAAGTATCGATTCTGGGGAGAAAGATTTCCTGGTGCGGCACAGAAAGCCAACGGTGGACGAAGCAGGTGTGTGTAAAGATATATGAATATGTAAGCATCTGCGTGCTTAGGTGTCAACTTGTGCCTATATTACATTTATTCATTTTGCCCCATGCAAGGCAATAAAGCTACTAAGACCTTGAGTGTGAGAGAATGTTAATTAGGAAGACAAAAAATAACGATTGACATTGCTTTTATTTTTGAAGATCAAAGTTTACTGGAAACCAACAGGACTGAAGAATCTTCACCATGAGGGAAGTGACAGAGGTGAAAAATGTTAGAACAAAACTTACGATTACATCTCGCAATTTCAAGTGAAAAAAGGTTATGATCCTGCCGCCAATCTAGGACTGCGTTTAAATTTATACAATCGAGGTATCATAAAGGAAGTTTCATCAGGACAATTATTATGAAAGTATTTATAGAAAGTGACCGAAGCCGATATGTCAGTTCAGGACGAATAACCGATATTCTAAACATGGACGAATGGTAGACTTATAGATATGTAATATAGATTCTGGAGAGAAAAAAAATGTCTCGCGCAACACAGTGAACTGACTTTCCTTAATCTAACCACTTCAGTTCAGCTTAAAACGTTAGTTCGTGAAAGTGACTGAAGGCTAAATGCCATGTCAGGTCAGCTGAAAACGTTTGTCCACGAAGGTGCAACGAGTCACTCTGCTGTAGTTTAGCATCAGCCATACTGATGGAAAGTAAAAAAAAAAGTTCTTTCAGACGATTAAAAGAGAGCAGTTAAATTTTTGGGACGTTAAAATTAAGAAGCCAGCTCCTGCCCCAGTTAACAACAGATTGTAGGTCATTTTTAGATCAGCTGCCAATTTGACATTATCGAACCGATCAGACTTAAAAAAAAGTGTCGTGCGAGACATTTTTTTTTCTCTCCAGAATCTATATTACATATCTATAAGTCTACCATTCGTCCATGTTTAGAATATCGGTTATTCGTCCTGAACTGACATATCGGCTTCTGTCACTTTCTATAAATACTTTCATGATAATTGACAAGAGTAAATAGTTGTGACATCCGCATAGATACAGAATTGAGAACTTATGACGTCAGAAAGGTCATTGATGAAAATTAGGAACAATATAGGTCTAAGAAAAGAGCCTGGCTTGGGGGACATTTGCATTAATGTAAACCGATCTAGAAAGGAATTCAAAACAACTTTTATTTTGCGATTTAATAAGACTGAATCAATTAAAAAATTTGTCTAGAAATACCATAACCTTTCAACTTGTGATCAAATTTACTATTAAGACAGAAGTAAATAGTTGTGACATCAGCATAGATACCGAATTGAGAGCTTATAATCTTTCCACTTCATATCAGCGAAAAAAGTTAATTACTAATCTTTTTATGAATATGTGAGAATCTGTTCGTGTGTAAGCGTCTGTTCAAGCGTGTATGTTTGCCTATTTGTTGATGGCTATATATTTATGAACATTTGAATACCAGTATGTGTATATGCGAGGCAGACAGAGTCAAGGAGGGTATCTCTTAAACGTGTATGTATGCCTATCTAAGGTTAGGGTATCTATGTAAGAATACGCGAATGTTTATGTGCGTGTATGCCTCTTCTTAAATGGGTTCCAACTTGTGGGTGGCTATGTATTTATGAATATGTGTCTGTCGATGTGTAAGCGTCTATTTGCCCTTGCTACTGTGTGCCTATTTGTGGGTGGCTGTCAGTGTGTCTGTAAACGGCTATTTGAGTGTGTCGAGATGACTATTTGTATGTACGCCCCTATTTAAGAATATGTGAGTCTGCGTGTGTGACCGTCAGTATTAATTTAAGATTCTTGTGGACATAAAGTAGGATATCGATTTGTACTTTTATTAAGTAATAAATTGATCCCCCTAAAATTATTACATATTATTATAATAATTGGAAACAATATATTTAAAGACACGCATGTCATAATCTAATAATAGTAAGGAGTCGAGAAAATTATCGATTTCATATAGCCTGACATTTTAGTGCACTTCCGCACTGATATTTATACAAGAATCTACTGGACATAAAGTGGGGGATTGGTTTCTATCTTTCAGCAATATACTGAGCTCCACATTATATAATCCAAGCAGAAGGCCGGCAAGTAACATTTTGATTCCAGTTCTCGGCTAATAATGAAGTGGAAAGACTATATTGAATCCATTGCTAGGTCAGCTGCGAAGAAAGTCAGTTCACTGTATCGTGTGTGATATTTTTTTCTCTCCAGAATCTTTTAGGTCAGCTGCTAAGAAAGTTGGTTCACTGTGTCGTACAAGACAATTTTTCATTCCAGAATCTCTCCTACATATCTATAAGTCTACCATTCGCCCATCTCGACTTCAGTCATTATATCACCAATGCGGCACGGCTTTCCTGTCTTTTCTACAAATATTTTCAGGGCAACTGACGAGCTTTTCCTCTGGTGGCCCGACTGCATGAATTAAAAGCGTGCTACTAGATTGGTACCTAAGTTCCAGCCTTTTACTGTTGAAATAGTTAAATGCAACCACCACTTCGACTCCAACGGTTTCTTTCCTTGCACTTCCTGCTTGTGGAAATCCCTTCCGTTTCTTTGCTCCCCTGATAACTACTTTCTTCATAAATTTAAATGCGAAGTCAGTCATCATCATCTTTTGTCCTTTCCTCAATCCACCCTATACCTTGTCTTTTCTTTCATTTTCATTTTCCTTTCCTGTAACCCCCCGGATACTAGTGGAATTTTCACCTTGCTTGGGGAGAAATAATTAAAAAAAAACATATTGTCTGGTGTTCCTGCTATATATTTAGAGATATTTGATAAAATCCAAAGAAAAATCAGCAATAATATTGGTCCTTACCTGGTCTTTCGACTTCAGACACATTCCCGCTCCCGCAGAGATGACTCCCCTTTTTATAAAGATTAACATGGTAATTTTGGCAGACGATGTTCAAAATGGCCTCCAGTCTGTTG